TCCCATCCCTCCTCCCTTCTCTTTGTCTACTGTACTGATCTTTCTTTTTCTTTTTCTTTTTTTAATCTCCCCCTTATTTTGGATTAGCTTCCACATATCAGAGAAAACATTTGACCTTTGATTTTTTGGGGGGATTGGCTTACTTCACTTAGCAAGATACTCTCCAGTCCCACCCATTTACCAGTAAATGTAATGAAGTCATTCTTATTTATGGTTCAGTAATAGCCCATTTCCACTGTGTGTGTGTGTGTGTGTGTGTGTACATATATGCATACACATACACACATACACACACACACATATGTTGGCTCCATAGTTTGGCTATTGTGAATTGTGCTGCTATAAACATTGATGTGGCTGTGTCACTGTAGTATGCTGATATTAAATCCTTTGGATATATACAAAGGAGTAGGATAGCTGGGGTGATTTCATTCCTAGTTTTTTGAGGAATATCCATTCTGCATTCCCAAGTGGTTACACTAATTTGCAGTCCCACCAGCAATATATGAGTGTACCTTTTCCCCCACAACCTCACTAATATTTATTGTTACTTGTATTCTTAATAGTTGCCATTCTGACTGGAGTGAGATGAAATGTCAGTGTAGTTTCAATTTTCATTTCTCTAATTGCTAGAGATGTTGAACATCTTTTCATATATTTGTTGACCATTTGTACTTCTTTTGAGAAGTGTTTGTTTAGTTCTTTTGCTGTTTGTTGATTGGGTTGTTTGATTTTTGGTGTTAAGTTTTTTGAGTTCTCTCTATATCCTGGATATTGATGCCCTACCTGAGGAGCAGATGGCAAACATTTTCTCCCATTCTATAGGCTCTTTCTTCACACTGTTTCCTTTGCTGTGAAGAAGCTTTTTAATTTGATGCCATCCCACTTATTGATTTCTGATGTTACTTCTTGCACTTTAGGAATCTTATTGAGGAAGTCAGTTCCTGAGCTGACACRTTGAAGTGTTGGGCCTACATTTTTTTCTAGCAGGTGCAGGGATTCTGGTCTAATTTCTAGGTCTTTGATCTACCTTGAGTTGACTTTTGTGCAGGGTGAGAGATGGGAGTTCAATTTCATTCTACTATGTATGAATTTCCAGTTTTCCCAGTATCATTTATTTAAAAAGCTCTTTCTCCAACATATTTTTTTGGTCCCTTTGTCTAGCATCAGATAACTGTGTTAATGTAGATTTGTCTTTGTGCAAGGACCACTTTTTGTCCATCTTTAAGTCCTTGGTTACTAGGAGAATGTCTGCCCTTAGGCATCTCCCAATAAATGTTTTTGGAATAAATGAGGCAGGGAAGTCTTATCAAATTATAAATTCATTACATAATAAAAACTTTTTTGCTTTCCTCAGTATTACGATTCATATATAAGGCACACACAGAGAACATGGAAGTAGGAACTKAAAAAATCTGAATCAAGATCTGCAAATGGACAAGGGATGAGCTAAAAATAATCTATTTTTTTCTTAACCTTATTTTTTATCCAATCGTCTATGACCATGCAGCTTTCATCTTATAACAGCCATAGATTTGAAGTGCTTAAGGATTTTCCATTTAGTTGGGTATGGGAAGTCTGTGACAAAGGAAATTAAGCCAAGAGTCACAGTTTCTTACTGACTTACTCTAGGTGAATGACCTAAACTGTATGCAAAGTTCCTCCCTTAAAATGAGATAGTATTATCCACTTTTCCGAATCATTGTAGGGTTACATGGAATCCTGTTACGTGAAGGTCATGGCTTGGGATTTGACAGTTGTTTGCACTATCAGGTGAAGCTGGATTGTTGGACTATAACTCTCTGGGACAGGAGATGAATTCTGGCAGGTTATAATACAGAGAACTGGGTTTAACCTAAACAGGATACTTCAAAGAGGCAATCTAATGCTTGTTTAAAATAAACTGCTTGGACTTAAACATCCCTGTCATTGATTTCTGCTCTGGGGATAGAATGAAAGGCTCAGTTGACTGAGGCTGACTACAGCATTGCCCAGCAGGCCTGGTATCCCGAGCCCTCACTTTGTCATCCTATGTTTGGAAGTAATCAGAAGAAAATAACATGGAATGTTGGTCCTCATATCTACCCATTAAAGCCAGCCATGGATATTGTGCCTCAGACTCTTCTTAAAAGCTTTACTGACTTAAGTCATATTAAGTCTGATTTAAGACATAATTTTTAATGAATGTACTGATATGATTTCTTGCCCTAAAAATTAGAAGAGAGATTGTGAAAGGACTGCTGGAAGGAAACTTTAACTTTCATAACAAGTGTTAAATGCCTGATAAAAGGAGATGTGAAAAATCAAACTCAGGACTGTATTCCTGTCCTGTATGATAAAAGATGTTCCAAAGGATCACTCTTGGTCATGTGTTTTAAAAACCTTAATTATATTCGGTGTCTTTTATTTCCAAAGGCAGGGAAGTATGAAACACACTTTAAAGAAGATTTCTTTTCAAAAGTTTTGGTTTCAGTGGTCTGCAAAGTTTACTTATATGGAACACCTCATTCCTTGCCAAAACCAAATAAATGAAGTGTTTCTGTATTTAGAAAATAAGGAAAGTGGAACATTTGTTGTAATAATGTGAATCTTTTTAAAAAATAGTTGCTAAGAACAAATATAGGCCAGGCACAGTGGCTCATGCCYGTAATCACAGCAGCTTAGGAGGCTGAGGCAGGAGGATCACAAGTTCAAAACCAGCCTCAGCAATGGTGAGGCACTAAGTAACTCAGTGAGACCCTGTTTCTAAATAAAATACAAAAACGAGATGGTGATATGGTTCAGTGGTAAAGTGTCTCTGAGTTCAATCCCCAGTACACACACAAAGAGAACAAATATAAAGCTAGTGTACTTTAAAAAAGATTATTCAGGAGCAAACTCAACYATAACATGAGCTTTTTTTAAGGAATAGGGGCATTTTATTTTATTGAGCAGGTGTAAGTCAGAACCTAGCGTTCAGAAGTTATTAGTTCTTAGATGGAGAGATATTTGAATGGATGAATAATGGATAGTTGGATGGACAGATGTCGGAGAAATGGATGGATGGATAGTGAAGTTATTTTGGCTAAAGTTGCACTTAGGAGAAATTTAAAGGACAAAGGAGAGGACTATGCAAAGATGTCAATTCTAAATCAGGAGAAAAAATAGCTCCTAGAGAGCTGACTTCAAAGACAAAAATTAAATTAGAGACAGAGAGGGAGAGAGAAAGAAAGAGAAACTAAGGGATACAAAGGTGCTGAGAACCATGATAATCATGGACATATAAATAGTTCTAGTATGTAAGTTTAAAAACTGAGTTCCTGTACTATTTCTGCTACTGTCCACTTGGGTGATTTGGGGAAAATCCTTTATGTCTCTGGGGTTTCAATTCTCTCATACGTAGACTATGGAAGTTGGGCTAGATGATTCTATGAAATCCTTCCCAATTCCAACAGTCTATGATTTTATAGGAAAAAATATCAGTGTCTTTTATGTATCTGGCATGTAATGAAAGTCTAAACTAAAGATGTGTATCAATATACCAAACAGCATATTTTATTTCAAGGACATTTGTATTCTTGGACTCCAGTTAGCATCATTTTGGCTTCACCTAAAGCACATACTATGCACAAACAAAATGGTTTGTCTACACTTCTTTCTTTCTTTCTTTTTGAATGAAAAGATTTGTGCCTCCCACATGTAGGGCTTGGCGTATTGTGAATGGTAGCCTACACATACGCAAATGAGAACTGGGAAGATAATTAAATCTGAGGTGGAAATAGAGTAGACTTGTGAATGAACAAAGAAAGTGTGTTCCTCTGGAAGCCAAGATGTCAAAGATATATTTTATTGGTACTGTACACTTTCTGCTTTCCATGTAAATCAGTATTCAGCTGCTTCAACTGTTAAAGCTCTGCATTTCTGAAGAATCCTCTGTGTATATTAACTGTGACCCAGGCAGGATATGTCAGACATTTTAAAATTCCAAACTTAAGGAGATCCATGGACGTACATGAATGCCATACATAAAGAATCAAACGGTCAAAATACAATTTATTTTCAAGATAAAATAACAAAACAGATTCATCTCCAAGATTTTGACTGCCATTCCTGGACTTCTCTTTATTTTTCTCAGAAAATAGCTGTGGAACCTAAGGGAGGAAGTGTAACTCCAAGGATTCTAAAATGTTTCCGCATCGCATACCTTTCCAATGGCTGCATTTTGACAAACTAGCGCCAGACCCTGCGACCCTTCAAGCTCTAACTGTCCTTACAACTTGCATGAGTGTTAAGAGGTTGCCCTGTGGCTGCAGGGACACCCATCATAGCAAATTCATGCTGAAAGTTAACCCAAAAGTCATTTGGGTCAATCCCCTATATTACATAGATGAAAACTGAGGTTCAGGGAGGAAAAGTGATTTACACATAGTAACACAGCAAGTCACACAAGTCTCTTCTCAGAGCCACATCGATCCTTGACAAATAATCTAAAACAAGGGAACCAGACCCTTAAAAAAAAAAGATTATAATGCTGTTACTTTTTTTCAAATGAGCCATTGTTCACCTTTTCACTTTGTTGCTTTTGTCTTGTCAGCTTCTTGTAGAAAGATGACTTACTGCATGGAAATTCAACTTGGCATTTTCTTTAGACAAAGTGATCTTTTAAATGTAGCCAACATTTCTTTTGGAGTATGACTCCATTTCACATAACACATCCTAAGATTGATGTTTACTAAGTTGGTTGTTTAAATCATGTTCAGCGCTTGGTTACATGGGCTGCTTCTTTGTCTCTGTCTCTCCCTCTCTCTCCTTTTTCTTTGTGCTTGACACAAAAGGATGGGGGCCCCAGGATCATCTGGAAATGGATCAGTGTATTCATGTGTGAGCTTTACAAAGCACTGGAGCAAAGGTGTCATTAAACGTTAGAAGTCACTCAATCACACTCATCTCTTCATACAAAGTAAAGAGGAAAAAGGCTCTGTGTGGTAACTATCCAGAAAGCTTTGTGTATTCATTTATTCTTTACTTCTTGAGGAGCTAGCATCCCCTTCCTTTCCCTTAGAGGAGAAAATTTGAAATTTAGCTTTGTTTTTCTGACTCTGTCACTAATATTCAGCTCCTGTTTAGTGCTGAAAATAACTAAAGTAATAGATTTTTAAAGAGAGCTTCTGGATTTAATTCTGATTGTGTTTTCCTTTCAAATTACTGAGGTTTTCCAAGGTTTCCACAATGCCCATGGCTACAGGAAGGAATGACTCTTACCGAAAGAGAARTTGGTTGTCTCCCCTTAATTGTGTTTCCATCAGTCCTTTCTAGGTATTAAATGTAGAATTCAATTGAGAGAGGCTTCAATGTATCAGTATCCTGTTTGTCCTGAAATGTAAATGGAATTTATGAGTTTTGAAGCAGATGCCATCTGCTGGATAGTTATGATACTGTCACCAAAGTTAATATGAACAGAAAGCACAGAGAACAGAATAACTTAATGAATGGACTAGTTACTAATTYAAATATACACTATTCCTCGGGCTCCAGGTAGAGTTACAGACTCCCTAACATACTGTCTACAGTGTAAATATTTAAAATTTATTTTTCTTAGAATAAAGATATCCCTTCCTAGGTACCTAAACTCTTCATTTAGTTTGCAGTTATGAGAACAAATGCAAAATAAGTGCTCATCTTCTGAGAAACAGTAATCTTGCAAAAATGCATTTTGGAGCCCCCAAAATTAAAAGTCATACAAGATAAAAAGTCATACAAGAGAAAGTCATACAAGAGAAAATTAAAAGAGAGTGATAAAACAGGGTTACATAGGAATAAAGGTAAGTATATAAAATTAGAACCATATGTAAAACATAAATACAGACTAAACAGCTCATTCTTTCTCTGAGGGATCTTTTTGACAGAATTCATCTCTACTTAACACTCACCTACAGTCCCACACTGCTTCCTCATTAGAAGATCCATGGATAAAGTGGACCCTCCTTAAACCGACTTAGAAATTATATATTGTGGTCATGTTCCATGTGACTCCTGTTGATGCTGGAGCCCAGCCTTGGCTTTTCCTCTCTCTTTCTGAACAGGTTGCTTTATATTTTGGAGACTTTGTTCTTCATTTTTTAGATATTACTTGATGAATTTCACTGTCCTAGTTGCTATTTAAAAATTAAGATAATAATAGTATATTCATAAACAGCATCCCTCAAAATATACTCATTTAAAGTTACAACTTAGAATTAGGATTTGATAAGCAAGAGGCTCTGGTCACAAAGAATGCCATTTCTCCATATGCAGAAGCAATCCTACAAAATGAAAAATTTCAGAACTTCAATCTGAATTTGGCTGGGATGTCCTGTGGGGATTTTGCAGAGAGGAAGTTCTGAAAGATCCATGCATTTCTATAAGATGGTTCCTCTTAAAAATCTTACTGGAATATAAAACAGTAAAACAAAGTCCATAAATTTCTTCCCCAGAGAGCTCTCAAAATGGAGGCACCAAGTTGTCAGCTCCATCCCCATTTCTGAATTAAAAATACACACTGATGGCTAAATGAGGGAAGGAGCAGACAAAATACCAAACAGATGAAGAAAGAAAGGAAAGACAGCCCAAACGTATTAACTGTTCGCCCACATGACTTACTGGTATGTTAATGTCTCGTATCAGCCACTGCTAATGAGAACGTTGCTCCTTATTTCTCTTTTAGTTTATAAATGGAGTAGCATTATATAATCACTCTAATGAGGTAATAGAAACATAAGTACACAGGAAAATTTGATAGGGTTTTCTCCTAATTCATCCTTTGCTGTGTCGGCCATCTCCCTATCCCATTAGCCCTCCGTCTTCTTAGCAGACTCCCTTCCCCTCAAATTGGCTGAGTCTCCAGTCCCAAAGGACATATTGTTGGCTATTATTTATAATAAGTCTCTCTCCCCTTGGCAGGATATAGAACAGCTGCTGGTCTATTCTCTGCCACAAAGACCAACTTCCTTCTTTTGCCCTGGATGATTGGGAGAAGGTCGGGGAGGAGCAATTTATAGTTGTGTTACAGCACCTCTGTTTTCTTTTATGTTTATTTATATTGCTTCCATTTCTGTCAGGGATTTCTGAGATAATCAAGATCACTTTGCTACAGATTTCTCATTTGAGGAGGCTCTGGTGGCAGTTGATGGTGTTTTTCTTCACTCAGTCAGACATTTTAGGACTCCAGGCAAGAGGAAGTAGTCAACATTTCTTCTATGAGTATTTGAGATTCAATCTTCCTTTTTTTTTTTTAACTCTTAAGTGTTCTGTGTTACATGAACAGTAAATGGCTTTGAGATCCTCAAGGGAAGATATCTTGTCTTCATAGACTTGCTGTTCACAAAACTTAGCATGGTACCTGCTCAGTTAATGTGTGGTGAGTGAACTGAGTGGGGTGTTACATGGAGTCCAGCCCACCAGCCCACATCTCCCCCAGGCCAGGGAAGCCTCCTCTCCTGAGCTGGAACCTTCTTGTGAGATCGTTTGCTTTTTATGACTTCATAAAAATACCTCATTGTAGGCAAAAGAAAAAAAAAGTGAGGAAACCCAATATTTCACAATTGAACCTCCAGCCAAAGAAATAACAGAAGTATCAGAGACCAGAGCGCCTTTGAAACTAGAAGTTTCTGTATTCTTTCAAATATTAAAGGAAACTTACAAAGTGGGAAATTTTTCTAAGACCCCAGAAACAAAGAAGATCCAAGTGGTTTTGACTCCAGATAACAATATGACATCGGGCCAAATAATCTTCGATGGACAGGAAGGGATCACAATCCAGCATTAACGTTTCTGCTTCTGTCTAGTGTTTGGAAATAAGATAGTTTGGCTACTAGTCAAGACCATGTTTAGTAAAGACTGGAAAAGAGCATAGTGGAGTAGTTAAATTATCTGAAACTTTGGAGTGTGGCAAATAGGAGACTTATTCCCACACCCTGACTTATTTCCATATGGACATAGTTTGTTGAGTATTAACAAACTCTGTAACCAAAACTGTCTCTTCCTTGGAGGAGTAAGAATTAGAGAGCTGACAATTCCCATGTGATAGCAGTAAGGATCTTTAAGTACTGAAAGATTTCTTAGTATGTGTTTCTAAGTGTGTCCTAAGTATCCTGATGGATATGACCCCTCATATTTTCTCTGATATCTCCATTGCCCACCCAATGAGTGCTTGACAAATGTTCCTGATGGATACAGAAAGAATATATGTGATTGAAAAGAACACTAGTTGCTAAAGCCACTGAGACGTCTTTCTGATAGTTTTCGGCAGTGTGCAAACAATATGGGCTGGAAAAACAATAGTAGCTATGTCTAATAGGTGCCATAGGACAGGCCCAGTCCTGACCACTTTACATGTACTGTTTTATTTCATCTCATAATCTTGTTTCTAAAGTGGAATCACTGGAAACATAAAAACCCCAGTGTTTACTTCTGTCCAGTGAGAGCCAGGCCTTTCAAAACTGGAAAAGAAGCTGCTCAAGTTGGGCAAAGAGTAGCTCAAGTCATCTCTGGAGAATGGGAAAACAGAACTGAGACACAAATAGATCTAGACAAACCTTGGTTCTTTGTTTTTTCCCCAGGTTCTGCTGATGCTTCCTGTAGTTGCTTGTTAATTCAATCAAAGTCTGATTTGTAGGCACTTAGGTATTGTAGGACCTGGGAAATGGGGCATGAGAGTCTTCATAGAAAACCTTCCATGAAACCCTTGAGGTGAACCCCTACCAAGGTGCACAACACAGTCCATACTGCACTAGTTAAGGGCCTGAGATCTGGAATGGGACTGTCTGAATCCAGATGCCTGAATTCGGAGGTATAACTTTGAGGCAACTTCTCTGTGCCTCAATTTCTTGGTCTATAAAATGTACATAATAATATGTACTTCCAAGAACACTAATAAATGATGAATGTAAAGTGCTTAACACAGCAGCTGATTATTGTCACTAATATTACTATTAGTACTAATAATCAATATAATACCTATTTTCCTCCCATAAGACATGAGGGCTGTTTGAAAGAAAGGTCCTTGAATTTTTTTTCTCAAGCACAATCCTTGGCATATTGTATATTCTAAATAAGGACTGGATGGATGAATTGATGGATAGATGGATGGATGCACAGATAAATGAATTTTTTGTGTTGCTAAAACATTACAAAAGACCTCATTATTTTCAGATCCCTTCACAGAAAGGTATGGCTCACATATTACCCCCTCAAAATGACCATGACACAAAAGCAAACTACAAATTTTATCAAAGGCATTTCATGGGGACAAATAGATATTTATATTACAAGACTGTCACACATCATACTTGAAATTAGTCTACTCAGAAGAACATAGTTTAGAGATTATAGGTTGCCTGCATGACAGCAAGTTGACCCCTGCAAGCTCAGGTGCCAGATGATGAGATACACATTGGACTGGTCTTTGTTTAAGAAACTTATGTTCCACAGGAGTTCATAACTCTTATAAAACCACAAAGCATTAAGGCTCTCAACTTAATTTTGGATTTTAGTGTGCAKGATTCTCTCCAGGAACATGCTAGTTATAAGAATTGCTGCATTCAGCAAGTCTAAAGTATGGCACCCCCATTACATATTTACAGTTCACTTGTAGTTCCCCCCAGTCCAGATGCACTCTACCAATGGGGGGTGATTTCTACCATATGTAATGTTGCTTAGTAACACAGTTGAMACATACCATCTTTATCTGTTTCCAGGGAAACCAAGCAAAGAAGTTAACCAAAGGTCAGATTCTCATGCAAAAAGGGAAAGAGTTCTTGTTAACTCTGCCCACACCATCTAAGTCATTACTCATAGCATAGTCTGAGAAACCACTTCTATGTCCCTGTGAAGAACTGATTCTTACATCTCATATCTACCACAAATAAATCCTCAAGTGGAATAATATAGGCATGGCCATATTGGCCACTCTGTGCTCTCTCCTCCATGACCAAGAGTCAGGTTCAGTTATTTTTATACCATGCCTGTTCTTCACATCAATCTCTCAACTACAGTCCCATCCTTAAAATCCAAAATTAAGTGGCTCTCAACCCATATACACACTCATAAACATACAGAAGATTCCAGTGACTGTGGACTTATGTCATTTTAAAAGATTAGCTCAGCTCTCTCTGCTTTCTGATTATCATGTGAGCTACTTCCCTCTGCCACACTCTTCCACCATGATTTTCAGCCTTACCTGGAGCCCCAGGGAATCGAACTGGCTGTACATAGACTGAGATCTCTGAAACCAGTCTCAATAAGTAACAGAGAGTCTTGATAAATCACTGAGGCTGGCCACCAGCTTGAGATACACCTGCCTCAGGCTCCTGAGTCAGTGGAGTTACAGTTCAATAAGACACACATAGCYTTTCTCCCCTTGAGCTAATATTGTCTGCTGCTGCTCTAGGAGAGTCCTGGGATATGCAGAGTATCTCCAGCCAAATTGAGGAGAGTTTTACAAAAGTCATATCTAAAGAATATGAGCTTATCTGCATAMAGGGTGGTGATAAACACTAGGCAGAGTGATTATGTAAGCTCCCAAAGGATATTGTTATTTCCATATTTTTACCTGTTTCTAACAACTGCAACTAAGTGGATAGTGAATCACTGAGAAGAGCAATTTTACAGTGGATCAAAGATGAAAAACTAGGCATGGAATGCACTGAAAATACATTTCAGTTGCCTTTTCTGTTTCATCTTCAGAAAGACTCATCATCAATAAAGACAGCTGTAATGCAGTGAAAATTGTTGTCAACTTGACATTCAAAAGACTGTGTTACAGATCTACTACTCCTTACTTGCATGAACTTGTATGATGATTCATGGGCCTCCTCTGCTTTTTATATAAAATTTGGATAATATCAGTTTGAACTATATAGAATTATCCATATTTGACTATGAACTATATGAAAATATCTATATTTGACCACTTATGAACTACAAAGGCAGTATTTTCATATTATTTAATTTTATAGATTTTTGTTTCAATTATTTTGTATAGTAAATCAGAAAACATGTGGGAAGAAGTTTGATAAAATGCCATATATCAATACTAAGTAGACATACTTGAATATATTTTATTGGAATTAAAGCAATATTATCTGCATCACAAAATAAATAAATAAAAGATAGTTTAGCTGCATGTCTATAATCCCAGTGGCTTGGGAGGCTGAGTAGGAGGATCACAAGTTTAAGGCCAGCCTCTGTAATTTAGWGAGGCCCTAAGAAACTTAGTGAGACCCTGTCTCAAAAAAATGAAAAGGGCTGGGGATGTGGTTCATTGGTCGAGTGCTCCTGGGTTCACTCCCCAGCTGCAACAACAACAGTACCAACAACAAAGATTTGTTCAGCCCCCCAATCACACTACTAAGGATATTTTCAGTTTTGCCCTTTCTTACAGGATTGTTATAAGAATAAGATAAGTCAAAAAGATAAAAAGTTGAAAAGATTATAGTAAAAGATCTAAGATAGCTTTACTCTTCCAATAGAGTTTAAGTGATTCCCAAACAATTGGATAGGGTCCAATCTGCTTAATACCTATCTTTTCTATTGGTAGTTGGGGAGACTTTGACCAATGAGAACCACTAAAATGAAAACCACAAATCATTTTGTCTTCTGAACATTCATGAGATGGAAGAGATTTTGGTTAGTACCCATTTGCCTTAAAAAGGAGGAAATAGCCCATTTATTTCCCTGCCTGGA